TAAAATGTACATCTAGAAAGATTTTTTTGAGAAGCATTGAAGATTTAATGTGCTTTAATAGTCATGCTGGTAGTCAGCCAACTGAAAAGACCAATACTGAAAACACTTTTAAGACAGAATTTTTAACTATGAACCCTTATATAGATATATATTTAAAAACTCTGATCAAGTGACCTCCCTGGTGGCCTAGTGGTTGAGACTCGTTGCTATCCAGCTATCACCACTGGGGCCTGAGTTCTATCTCTGGCCAGAGATCTAAACTACATATAGCATAGCAGACCTTTCCTGTCTAGTTTGCTGCTTCCTGTCTTGCTATTGCCCCCCTTAGCAGTGTATTTCCGTCTCCCCACTCTGTCTCTGGTGAGTCCTCTCACCAACCCCCCTCAGCCCCCACTCACCCACACACCTCTAGCCCACACCCTAGTTCTTCTATTCATAAATAAGTCAACCTTTAAAAAAAAAAGATATTTGATCACACTGTTAATAAACTCTAAATGAGAACAGTGTCTTTTCTTAAAAAGATTTCTTTACTTATGTATACAAGAGCTGGCATACAGGCCAGACGTGTGGGGTGTGAAAACATTCACCAGAGACAGAGTGGGAAGCAGAATAGGTGGATCTACTGAAGCAATAGGAAAGACAGAAGAGGTCTGCTTTACCTTATGTGGGTTAGCTCCCTGGCCATGACTCAAACTCAAAGTTGCAGTGGCTGTGAACCACTAGGCCAAGAGACCCCCAGAGCCCATATGTTCAGTTTTATTCTAATCTGGCTGCTCAGCCTCATAGTGCTGAGACTCTTGAGCCACTAGGGAGGCTTGGGAACAAAGTATTTTCAAAAACAATTTGGCTCTAAATTTTAAAGCTGAATATTTTAGTTGCCAAGTATCAAGTAAATTCATGCATAGGTTTGTATATTAGAGAAATTTTTAGATAGATACATCAAGAGATATAGTATAACATTAACTCATGGCATTATAGATCACAATAGCAAAAAAGAACTGGAAACTTAAACATGCACAGATAGTTGATAAATACATACACGTTTATAGGACATTCACAGTGATTTCTATTACAGTCAAAGTGAACTATACATAACAACTAGACACATAATAGAGTTAAAAGGCAAGAATCATACATGGTTAAGATACCCTTTTTAGAAATCTCAAAACCAAGAGCTAAGATAGATAGACTGGATTAGATAGAGATAGATGTATATTGCCTAGGGATGCAGATATGTGATATTAAAAAAAAAATAAGGGGATGATAAAACATAAAATAAAATACAGGATTGTAGCAACCTGTAGAGGACCGGCAGGGAAGTAGGATAGAAAAAGAAATTCTAGGCTGGTACAAATGTTGGTCACAGTCCAGATTTTAGGCCACTGGTAGGTTCTTAGATGCAGTACTCATGGCTATTGTATTTTATAACAATATTTGCATGTATTCTATCATTTGTACAGTTTAGAAAGTCATAGATGTATGTGTATATGCGTATATAATGATAACAAATATACATCTGTATATAGATGGCAGGAACAATTTAGTAATAAAAATCAAACTGATAATTGAGAAATTAAAAAAGGTATGTATGAAAGTTTCATATAAAATTTATTTCAGTGGATTTTTATTATTTATTATTCAGAGACCAAGACAATCACTTCATATTTGATTTTTATAATTTTGTAATAAGTGAAAAAAATTAGAAATAATGAGGACATCATGGAATAGCATCGTAAAAGACAATATTAATTTATTAACAAGTAAATAAAATAAATGTTATTTATTATAAAACTCATTTTAAAGATTAAACTTTAGAACTCTGAATTGTGGCATTTATTTAACATCTTCGTACCCCATTTTTGTCATATTTATAAAGAAATAATAATTATTTTAGCTTTCTCAGATTATCATGAGAATGGAAGTGGATATGAAATTATCATCTTAGAAAATATGCAAATGTCAATTTGTCACTAGAGTTTTTCTTATTTCTCATATATATTAAAATTCATAGTAAACCACAGCAAAAGCTTATGCAGGTTTTTTTTTCTGAAATTACTATGAGTTACATGAATTTCTTAAATGAGGAAGAAATAAGAAAATGCCCACAGGATCTGCTGGAAAATCATTTTATTGATTTTCATACAAATACTTAAATGTAAATGTCAGTGTATTATCTTCAAGGAATTTGCAGGATTTCTAGACTTATTAATCAGTTCAAAAGCTCTCTTTTTGTTAATTTAGCCTTCAGAAAGACCAATAAGAGTCCTTTTTCCTTCTTTAAGAATGGAGAAAACAGAAGACATGCCTCTCATAAGTATTTATGCTATTGTTACAGGGCACCCCAATGTGAATTGGGTTGCTTATCTGTAGGTTCTCACAGGAACGCTTAATATTTCAATCATACTGCGGAAACACACACAAAAAGGTTCGATAATGGGTTTATTTACAAGGAGAAAGGTAAAGGAACAACCCAGGGAAAACAGAGAGAGAAATACAAGTTAACTAGAATATCCTACCAGTTCTGCTGACTTGGACTCCATTAGCACACTGAAAACTGATGGAGAGCCAAACGACCAGTTACAAACCACCAGGCCAAGAGACCCCCAGAGACCACAAGTCTGGTTTTATCCTAACCTGGCTGCTCAGCTCCACCCTCAAGCCCCAGCGTGCTTCTCCTTGGTATTAATGGGATTTATAGTTCTGTAACAGGTACAGGTTTCATGGACTCCGCCCCTACTCCAGATGCTGGAACTCCAAATCCCATCAGTACCAAGAAGAAGCACCCAGGGACGTGAGGGTGAAGACCCACAGACAGGCAACTCAATTCACATTGGGGTGCCCTGTAACAGTTCCAATATCTGGAATGGGGGTGGAGTCCATGAAACTTGTATCAGTCACTATCAGCCTGTAATGTTTTACTCCATTTGATTTCTAGTTCTGTTCTGAAGGCTCAATCAGTTTACCTGCATTTTTCCTTTTCCTTACAAAATAGATTAATGTATAGAGACTGATCATATTCCCAAAAGCCATTTGCTAATTTATAGTAAGAAAAATTACCTTTATTATAACTCTGGTGGCCCAATGGGTTAAAGGACCACATTATGAAGCTCTCTGAAGCTACATACAACACAAGTTCCGTTACCAGCCAGGGAGCTGACCCACTTGGCATGGCAGACCTCTCCTGACCTGCCTGCTGCTTCCCTCAGCAGTGTACTTTGTCAATCTGCCTGATCTGCTCCCCACTCTGTCTCTGGTGAATCTTCTCACCCACCACACATCTGGCCTGTCCCTCAGTTCTGTAAGCATAAATAAATAAATAAATCTTTTTTAAAAAATTAAAAAATAACTCTAATCTATTATCTTTGCTTTATAGCTTCATAAAAACTTTTGCATTCATTGTCATTTTGAAAGCTTATCATTACATGACTTCTGAACAAAATCACCTAATTTATTTTAAAACTATTTTTTTAGTCAGGTGGAAAATACCAAAGAGAACACAGAAGAACATATCCTATTCTCAAAATACTGTTAACAATTCTACACATTTCCGCCTGTCTTTTCTTTTCTATACATGACATGCCAATTAAATGCCAGTTGTCACTATTTATGCTTATGACAGCTATCTCTGCTTTTTTGAGGAAACTGAAAAAATCGAGGAAATCAGACAAAAGTTCCAAGCAAGAAATGAAGACCTTCTAAAATCTACCACTGTGCTTAATCATTGTGAATGTTTTGGTGTATTTTCTTCTATTATGTATTCTCTATCTATCTATCTCCAAGGAAGAAACCCTTCTGGAAGACAGACACTGGTTTAGCTGGGATGAAGCATAATATTGTTAGTTGGACAGGATGTCTTTAAGTGCACAGGTGAGTACCCACAGTCAGGCACCCCAATTCAGATTGGGTTACTCTGTAACAATATAACAGACTAGAAGTTGCAGATCAGCATTCTTCCTGGACAGGACTAGCAAGAATGAATATGTTCTTTAACACTCATTTGTTTCAGTATTTTAGGCTGAACTGTACTTTGTTCTTTTCTTTCTGGAACACTTTCAAGGTCATCCGTGACTTGCCCATATTTGAACAAAGTTATCCTTCAAGGTTTTTGGAAATCTGAACTCTTCCTGAGGCTCTTCACTTTTTTTTTCCTGACTCCTACTATCTACTTTACCTTCTGCCCTGAGGTTGGAGGTTGGTTGCTCTTTGGAAGCTTTAGAAGGATCTTTAAAAACAGGCACAATAGAGTTAGTCCAGGCCTCCCAGCCCTGCCCCGGGGGTCTATTGTTATCAAAGGATTTAAAGCCTGGAGGGCCTTCTTAGCAAAGTCCTTTGCAGTGGGCTGGGAGGGGGCAGACCAGTGGCTGACAAGCCCAGGCGTCAAGAGGCACCCAGATTATTGATCATCAGAGCCCAACTCCAGGTTGACTCTGAGTCCTCACAACCTTCAGTAGATGTTTTCGCGTCAGCAGAAGGCTGCTGGGCCCTGGCGCACTCTTTCTCTCTGCCTTTCGGGACATTTGGGCAGGCCTCTGTCACAGAACCCCCACCGCCAGATCCTCTCGTCTTGCTTTGCGAGCCGGGAGAAGTGCGTCCCTTCTGGCTTGCCTTATGCCAGCGAGACGGGAACGCTCCAACCCGCCGGCAGACAGGAGGGGCGGGGGAGGGCGGGAAGTGCGGCCTTCTGCTTTGCAGCCTGCAGCAGTGACTTCCGGGAAACCAGCAATCAGACTGCCTAGAGTCGTTATTATATTGTCCTGGGAGATCGCCCCGGATACAAGAACACCCGCCTAACTCGAATAGGGCAGAGGCCGCACCTCTCGGTTCCCCTCTGCCTGGACCGCCCACGGCTGCGAGCGTGCAGACAGTGGCCCGCCGTCCTCACTTGGGCTGCGGCGAGCCCCTCCGGCCTCGGTCCGGCTCTGGGGGTGGGACGGGGCGGGGCGCGCGCGCGCAGGGGTAGGAGTGCGTGAGCCGGAGCGCGAGCTGGGAGAGTGCGAACGCAGCCAGGCGGAGCGGAGCCGGGCGGGAGGTGCGGGGAGAGAGGCTGGCACCGACGGGCGGGCGCCTGCGGCTCTGTGCCGGTCGTGCCACGTCACTGGGCTCCGCGTCCCGCCGCTTCTGCCCAGGCTCCCGCAAAACTTTTATTCTCTGTGCCCCTCACCCTCTGGGTGTCCGGAGGAATTGAAGCTCGCGGCTGGAGCTCTGCTCTTCCGCCGCGGCGACCCTGGGGGACTGGCACCCCTAGCCCGCCGGGCTCCAGCGCCCGCCCCGCGCCTTCTCACCTGCTCAGCGCTCGCAGGCGCGGTGCCTCCGGGGCCGCGCAGGCGGCAGCGTCTTGGAACTCTCGCGCTTACCGCTGCAGACCGGCGCAACTTTAACTTGATTGCTCCCTCCTGGCTGGGGCACGAGTAGCAGCTGCGGCGGCTGCTACTGCTGCGGGTGCTGGCCGCTGCCGCCACTGCCGCCTCACCGGGAATAGGGGAGGGAGGTGGCACCGCGACTAGCACCAGTACCGGTGCGCCAGCGCAGGCCTCTGGGCCGCCCGCTCTGGGAACAAAAGGGAAACTGCCTCTACTGCGAGCTGCCTGCCTGCGGGTCTCGAGCCGGGTTTTCTGTCCTCTCCTCCACCGCCACCCTCAGCGGCTGCTCTGCGCCCCTCATCGCGGTAGACCCCGCAGTGCTCCGGGACCCAGCGAGCCTTTGGGGCGCGCGTCGCTGCTAGTGTTGGGACCCTAGCGATAATAAATGATAGAGGATACAATGACTTTGCTGTCTCTGCTGGGTCGCATCATGCGCTATTTCTTGCTGAGACCCGAGACGCTCTTCCTGCTGTGCATCAGTTTGGCGCTGTGGAGTTACTTCTTCCACACGGACGAGGTGAAGACCATCGTCAAGTCAAGCAGGGACGCGGTGAAGATGGTGAAGGGCAAGGTGGCTGAGATCATGCAGAACGATAGGCTTGGGGGCCTCGACGTGCTGGAGGCCGAGTTTTCCAAGACCTGGGAATTTAAGAGCCACAACGTGGCGGTGTATTCTATCCAGGGCCGGAGGGACCACATGGAGGACCGCTTCGAAGTTCTTACAGACCTAGCAAACAAGACGCATCCTTCTATCTTTGGGATCTTCGACGGGCATGGGGGCGAGGTAGGAGTTCACTGGGACTGTGTGTGTGTGTGTGTGTGAGAGAGAGAGAGAGAGAGGGGGAGAAAGGATCTGTGTGCCTGTGACGGTAGGGCATGGGTGCAAGGGGTGTGGAAATGACTTGGTGCCTGGTTGGACAAAGCCTGCTGGTTCCTATTGAGGTTAAGTTGCCTCAAATACGACTGGACGCTGACCTCTTCAGGCTGAGGGTCAAGTTTGGGGGGAGGGAGCGTCATATATGTTCAGTTAGGAAACCTAATTTACAAAGTGTCCTAAGGTCTGAATTCAGGAAATGAATGAGTGTGTTAGTTTCGCGGGACAAGGTGATGGTTTCTACAGTGAACTTTGATTGAGGGCATCAGCAGCTCAGGATGCTAGGATTTGAGCCCCATCCAGGTAATAAAGAAGGAAGAATATATCATTATTGCTTTATTAACGGAAAAAGATTATATCCTCAGAGTCCTGCTAGTGAGGGCTCAGTAAGAGTAAAAGGAACTTGTGAGCACTTCTTATCTCCTTCTTCCTGAGGAGGAACTCAAGGGCAGCTCCGCCCTTTTTCTTCACTCCATTCACTTTACAAGTGACGTGTGGCCAGTTGGCTCGATTGTCTCTCTAGCTGCCGTCTTCTAGCTGAATTGTGGCGCTGGACTGAGATGATTCTGACTTTTGCAAAGACGTCGGTGCCTGCATCTCACCTCAGAATTCTTGCCAGTGTATGTGTGTGTGTGTGTGGTGGGGGGGTGGTGGTGCTGGTGGTGCGCTTATGCCTCCCAGTTACTAAACGTTTTTGGTATTGGTGTGTAGCTGGAAGTAGAAGGTGAGATTACAGGCAGGTCCTTTTCTGCATTTTTCTAGCACCCTGGTTAGGCTCAGTAGTATCATCCTAGGCTAAGTGAGTGGAAAATGTGGCTGGAGCGCTGTGTTAAAAAAAAAAAAGAAAGAGAAAATATCAGACCAGCTCCCCCCCCTCAGCCACCCCCTCTCTCAAGCAGTTTGGAACTGAGTTTCCTTGCCGCATTCTTTCTCCACCTCCCTCCCTTACCAGCCTGCTTACTTACTCAAGTTCCACCTTATCATTCCTCATTCTTCCATCCAGCTTTGTCCTCCCTTCTCTTTCAAGCATTTGCTTGTTCTTTGTCCTTTATTTTTGGTGGATCTTGAGAAAGTTTTTAATTGGTTATCTTATCTGCATTCTCTCATTGAATCTGTCACTTCACCCTTTCACTCTGCTAATCTTTCCAAGATAACTATTTATATCCCTTGTAGAACCAACATTGTCAGGAATAAAAACTTAGTTGGAAAATTTATTTGGTGAGCTAAAATAAAAATTTTTGCTATTTTCAACTCACTTGAGCCCTTTCCATATTCTGTCTTTCAAAATGAAGTTTTCTCACTGCTTGTTATTTTGTACTCTCTTGTGTGGTGTGGGTTCCTCTCCCCCAAGTTATAGGCTAGGTTGGAGATGTGAAGTTAACTTGTATCTTGGATAAAAACACCCAAATGACAAGGTTGACAGTATAATGAGTGATTTGTTTTCTTGGCTGGAATAATATTGTATGTATTATCATATTATATGCCTAAACTGTTGTAAATCATTTAATGAAGTTTATAGTTCTTACATATTTTTACATTAAACTTGTTGGTAGATGATAATTTATATCAGGTCTTAACAAGTACAGTATTAACTTACAGGTCTGGATGTAATATTTCTGTTGTGTAACTTTGGGTTTTGTTTGTCTGGATGTACTGTATTGGCATGTTTTGAACCTGTTCATGCAAATGAAGGAATATTCACGTTTTTCTTTTGATATTCTAAAAGCTGAAAGTTTGCAGACCAAAGCAGATTTTAGACTGAAACAAAATTGCTATCTTTTGATAAATATATTATCCAAAAATGGAATGCGATAAATGCTTTTATTTTACTACAAGTTTTTTACATATGTGGGATTTTTCATTAAAATTTTAAATAAAGAGATGATGATTATTGTTAGCAACTCTACAAATACTTTTCATTGTGCTTTCCATTAAAAAAATGCTGTTTACAAACAGTATTCTCTCAAAGAGAGAATCATTGTTCTGTCTGTGACCTCCTACAGTAAGTAGCCAGTTCATTAGCATTTGGCTTTGTTTTTGAACAAAATAAATTACTATAAACAGGAGTTCTTTAGTTATTGGGAATGTGATAATAGCAAATATGCTTTGGTAATTTCTTTTTTGTTTTTTATTTTCATTCAAAGAAAGCCTCGCTAATTCTTGTCTTTTGTGTAGCTTCTATAACATTCATCTGAGGAAGTGCCACTATTTGATTTTGATATAGATGTCACATCTCTTTTCATAAAATGGGAAGATTTTCCTAAATTCTCTGTTGTTTGTGTGTGTGTATGCTAGCAGTGGAGTTGAAGAGAAGATAGAGATAAAAAAGAAAGAATAGCTTATAATAACTTAAGCTAATAAGAAAGATAAAACCTGGGGATATCTTCAAAATACCCATTTTTTTTTTAAGAGCTAGAAGGACCAAGGCTGCCTTGTATATAACTTTCATTCTTTTTTTTTTAAGATGAGATGTTGTGGAAATTGTGACCTTTCTAAGTTTACATGGCTAAGCCGTTCAGACCTTTAGTTTGATTTTTATGTTAAAACTTTGGTAAATTAGTTTGTATGTTTTAAGTAGCTTGCTAGGTAGCATAGTAGGTGTACAAATGTGAATAACCCATGGTTTTGTCTTCAGTGTAGCATGTATACAAATTCTGTATATTCAAAAATTATGGTTATGGCATGCTTAGGGTGTTATCAGAATACAGATGAGGGGCATTTAGATCAGGCTGGGAGGTGAGGAGTCCAGGTAAAGGCAGCATTTTCTGTAAGATAGCAGTGTAAATGTTGGCTTGAGAATCTGACTCTGAATCTCTGTTTTGCCTATTAAAAGCAATCACCTTGGACAGATTGTTTAGGCAAATTTACCTGGGCGCTTTTAACCTGAAAAATAGGTTTAATAATGCATTCTTGTCTATCCTCATCAGTTGTGTTGTAGCCTTATCTAGAGAAAGGAAGAGGAAGTCGAAGAAGAAAACTTACAGATCAAGGAATCTATGTTGTTGAGGTAACAGTATCTAAGAGAGAGTGACCTTACATGTGAAAGTAAAATTTTGATCACTGGAAAAGTAAATGTTAATTATGGATAAATTATAGCTATGACCAAGCTCTCTTTGTTCTAACTTCTGGTGAAATAGTAATTAATTCAGAATTCCAGGTGGTCTAGCACTGGGAAAGTGGTCTTGGCTTCATGCACAAAATTTCTCATTAGTGAAAATGAATGGTTTCTGATTAATCAATAAATTAGTATTCTGACTTTCTCTTTAGACTCTTACGATTTGGGTTACCATGAGTTCTCTTGAGTCTATTCAACTGAATATTTTTAACAAAGATATTTCTCTGGACTTCTTATACTGAGGAACACTGTATATATAACTTGTAGATGGCGAGATTTTAAGGAATCTTGTCTTAGTGAGCCTGTAGGCTAACTTCCTCACTTGATGCCCTTAGGCCTATGAAACTTTACAGCAAAGATACTCTATGTGTGTGTGTATAAAGCAGTATATATATATATATATATATATAGCTGTATAACATTAAAACAATAGAGAAGTCAATAAAATAAGTAGCTCAGATTTCATCAGCTGATTCAAAAAAGGCATTTTTTAAATGAAAAAATATCTTCTAGGAAAATGAATGTTTTTGTGCTTTTTTGGTATATTTATTTAAAAGCAAGAGGTGGGGGCCCTCCCTGGTGGCGCAGCAGGTTAAAGCACAGCATTGAGAATCTAAAGCCGCTTCTGCATGAGTTCGATTCCCGCCTGCCCCAGAGGGGACCACATGGCGTGGCAGACCTCTCCTGACCCGCCCGCTGCTCCCCTCAGCAGTGTACTTCGTGGATCTGCCTGTTCTGTTCCCCACTCTGTCTCTGGTGAAGCCTCTCGCCGCTCCTGAATCTCTGGCCTATACCCCAGTTCTGTATGCACAAATAAATAAATCTTTAAAAAAAAAAATAAAAGCAAGAGGTGGGTTTTGATTAATTTCTGTATTATCTAGAAAGAATAGCACCAATCCTTTGTGGCAGTTTTCTCAATGTTTGTGATTGAAACCTATCTTGAGAAATGGATTATTGTGTGTTCCATATGCTTATGGTCATTACTGTATTAAAGGTCATATTTCATTGTGTCATAAAATTGACATACAGCTTGGCAAGTAGTTAAGGCCACACTTCATATCAGAGAGAAGCTGAGTGTCAGGGTCTGGCAGTCTCCAGATCAGCGTTTCTCAGTTCAGAAGAAAACTTGTTACTAAGGACTACCTAAAGGACATACACAATCTAGTTCTTTAGATCAGTGACTTCCTATTTTTTTTTTTAAAGGTTATTTATGCGTACAGAACTAGGGTACAGGCAAGAAGTGCAGGATCAGTAAGAGGATTCACCAGAGGCAGAGAAGGGAGCAAAACCCGCAGATCCACGAAGTGTACAGCTGAAGGGAGCAGGGGGTTTGTCAGGAGAAGTGTGAGTTGCCTTGCCTTGTGGATCATCTCCCTGGCTGGGGATGAAACTTGTGGTAAGGCAGCTGCCAGTCAGCTTCATGGTGCTGCCATTTAACCGGTTGCACCACCAAGAAGAGCCTGACTTCCTAACTTTTCAAGTCATGTTTCTTTTTGAGAATGTTATCAAGTGGAAGATATATTTCCCAGCAAAATGAACATATAGATCAAATTTTGTTTAGAATTTCAGAGCTATATAAATATATGAAGCCTCTGGATTTTGGGTTAGTCTAGATAAAATTAAATCTATCATACATTCAGAGAGCTGTGTACCTGCATATCTTCGTTGGCCCTCATAACTTTCTGATCCATCATTTTGTACTTACTACTCATGTCAGGAGGAATTTCCTTCCAAGCTCTCTGATGAGTCAACAGCAAGGTATTGCTGAGGGCCTTTCTGTTACATAAAATAGTGT